TCTCTCTCTCTCTCTCTCTCTCTCTCTCTCTCTCTCTCTCTCTCTCTCTCTCTATTCCTTTTCTCTTTCTGACGCTTAGCAGTCCTTCTATTTTTTTAACGTATGTAGGGTAAGGTCAGAAGTCCGATTTTTGTGATATCGTATCTACGGGACACGCGGGCATGTCGTGGATGTGAAAATGTCGTCAAATATTTTTTTTCGTTTTTTTGTTTTTTTTTTTTTTGTCGTAAATGTTGAAAACATTCTAACGAAACGGAATAAAGTTTAGTTAAATAGGTCACCTTCATGGAAATCTTTTCTTTTGTTTTTTTTTCTTTCGTTTTGTCCATTACTTACCCCCTTTAATTCTTTTCCTTCTCTTCTTGCCATCATATCTTTCTTTCTCAGATGTTCGCGCTTGTTCAAGTGATTTTTTCCAAAGAAATATGATGTTCTTTTTTCCTATCTTTCTATTTCGAAAATGTTCTAAAGGGGTAAGAAAAAGCAAACACGACTAGGGGAAAAGAGAAGAGAGATTCCTCTCGCGTTTTTTCACGCGTTGACGTCACGTTTTCTCCTTTCATTCCACAACCGAGGAATGAATCATTTCTCATCTTAGTCCTGTTGGCAGCAGCTTTGCACAGTAACATTCTTCTCTTAACGCACGTTTGACGATAGTATGCACGATGAGAGAATGTTCCTAACTTTCTTTAGGAAACTGCTCCATTACATTTATCTGTCTATTTCTTTCTCCTTGTCTTTTTCTATCTTTCGTCTCTTTCGTTCGGAACAAAAGAGAATGCATTCGAAATGTCTCACTTTGGCATTTCGGTTCTTCTAAAACTCTTGTTTGAGTTTTCCCTTGCAAGGTCGTGTTATCTTTCAACTAACTTCCTGCACATCGTAGGTGTATTTACGTGCTACCACAAATTTTACATTTACTTTGTTTCCCTCCACTTTTGTATCGTTGAAAATAATACAGAATTTTCGAATTCGGTTATATTTTTGTCTTTATCGCGTGATCAGTTTTCCAACACTCTTGCACCCCGAGGAAATTAATATTTGTATATTTTTAACACAACAGTTATTCTAACTCGTACAATAAATTTTCTATTTTCAAATTCTTCCAAACATTAGATTTACATTCCCTTTTCTTAGAGTATTTCTGACAATTGTGTCGTTAAGTGTATGTGATGTAACAGTTTAGTTAATTCGTCTAAATTTGTCGAAAGTTTATCTAAGCTCTTCCTTTCTCTTTATCTCTCTCTTTCTCTGTTATATGCACACAAGTTCGTCAAGGCTTCTCTTTAAACAATGACATCTATGCACAATTAGTAACATCGTCGTTCCACGTTTCGTTTAGTTCGAGCAATAACTCGAAACGTTCAGCATAGAGAACTTTATCGAAGATCGAGGATATTATCTGTTAGTACATTGAATACCCAACGCGTAATTGTTTAAGCAACTATTCACCTATAATTCCTCGTTAAGATAATGGATCTCCAATAACAGTATTCGATTATGAACGGTTACGATAAAATTTTAACTTGACTATACTATACGCCAAACATTGGTATGTGTCAAAATAAAAAATAATAAGAAATATTAATGTGTAAGATCACACAAATTTGTTATTCTTTCGTGGATTTCTATCGATAAATCTGAAATAATAATATTCGATCGTGTCCAAAGTTAAATATAATAACAACGTTGTGCAAATAAAATCTAATCTTTTTAATTACATTTTAGAACACATTGACGTTAGTACAAATAGAAAAGAATAAGAAATAATAATTGAAGATTGCGTTAATCTCTCATTTACATTTCATATTATATTTATTATGTATGCATATGTACTATGAAAATAAAGAAGCAAATCATTCGGATGAAATCGCTAAAGAGAATAGTAGAGTTACTTTGACAAGGTTAATTTTTCAAGACACATATATACTCTGTAAGTACTATATACATATATATATGTATGTAGTACTTGTAAAACATTTAGTATAAATAGTAAAAGACACTTATCTACGAGTGTGTTATCTTCTCGTACGATCACTTTGACGTTTTGTAACGTGTTTAGTAGTTAGTGAAGATTTTTATCCATGTGTTATGTTTTACGTCCATCAAAGGAAACTTTACATTAAACGTGTATAGTAATATATGAGGATATAACGATAGGACGATTTGATAAGCGAGTCAAAAGTGTAGAGTCATTACTTTGAAGTATGTTGCTCTTGAGACTCGTACATATATATACGTATATAGAAATAGCTTTTTTTAAATAGGACTATGGGGTATACGCAACAACTCTACTTTTGACACTTTTTGGCGTGGATCCCGATGTTAGAATTAAGAGTGAGCGAGGAAAAAAGGGGGAATAAAGGGAGAAAAAAGGGAGAGAAAAGGGAGAGAAAGAGAGAGAGATTGCTTAGTTTCGGAGGCCACGTCTGCACTCATCGACACTCGACCCAGTATCCGTAGGAACGTGGCAAAAAAAGAGATACTAAAGGATATAAGCCAGTCTCTACCATTATAAAATGTTTAAGAATTAGAACAAACATCGCTTCGAGCTAAAAGAATAGTCAGCAAGAATCGAAGGACGAACGATGCAATTTTCTATCTTACTATTTTATCGACTTACGTATGTGTAGATGATTACCGGCACATTGACAGTGGATTCAGTCAAAAAATTCAAAAGAAAATAGTTTTCAAATGTATTCCATATACAGGATAGAACAGTAATAGTAATAGGGGAATAAATGAAGACGAAGATTGAATATAACATTATTTTATCCATTGCTTCGTTTTCAAAAAAATCGATTTTCAAATTTGAATAATTGAATTTGTATGTGGATGCATTATTCATAATGAATATATGTATATAAGGAGAAGAAAGTTTAGAATTTCAATCATTTAATTTAATGTTTCTTTGCAGTTATGTAATTTAAAATATTATAGTTTGAAAGAACAATTAATGGTAAACGTTCGGACTTATATTTAACTCGTTTTTCTTATTAGTTTAATAAGAAATATAGGAGAAGAAGAAGCTAAACAGTTTACGTGTCAGTGTCGGTTGAAGTTCTTCTTACTAGATTTTAAATAATTAGCATGTTCGCTAATGAACACTTTACAAGTTACTTATAACGTATAAATTAGTTTTTATATACGTTCTTATATAATATATATATATATATATATATGTAATAAATATATTAATATTAGATGTACTTCATGTTCTCTTCATGTTCTCTTCACGTTATAATTGACAATAATTACGAATTGGAAAAAGAAGATATTAACAATGAATAATTATCAATTGTTATTAGCGTTAAAAACCATTTAGGAAGTTTCTCATTTCTATCGTGAGAATTTTACGATCTCTTGCGAATTTAATTAATGATTCATTTCGAATTATAATAATTGGATATTCTCGCGTAATAAAATAAATAAACCTATACATAGACATCCATCAAGCAATGAGAAAATAAATCAATCAAATAATAAGCAACAATCGAGTCGTTTTGGAAATTCTCTTTGAATTGTTATATTATCTTGTTTCGTTTTTTTTTTATTATCAAGATCGTAAAAATAGTTCTTAATCAATTATTTACGTAATCCCGGTTCGATATCTAATTAATATTATAACGTAAACTGGAATGATCGTAATTCGATAATTTTATTTCTAATCAAACTAAATTGCTAATACGTAGTTAGTCCTAGTAGGCGACTAATAACAAACAATGTTCAATTTAACGATATTCGTGTTAGTCGAGTATCGGTACTAGAGGGATAGATTTAGGCAAGAGATCCAAATCAGTTCATTTCGAAGCTGGTTACTCGCAGGGTGGTCTCCCCGTTAATTAGAAAGTTCATTACCACGACGCGTTAATAACAAGAACGTACATACTCGTGTTTGGATATTTTCGCAGTTTCAGCATCGATAGATTCGAGAGTAAAATTAATTGTAAATGAGAAAGAAACTGGGATAGAAAGAGAGAGAGAGAGAGAGAGAGAGAGAGAGAAATAGTAGGAGGAAATTGTAGTACTCTGACCTTGTTCATATTAAATTACAAATTCATTTCATTTCACCCGAAACATTTGAAATATTCGCAATATTATTCGATTTTATTTATTCCTTAATATTTTCCATAAATAATATAAGAGATTAAATTTGTCGTTCGTTCAATTTTTGTCCCCCCATTTTAATCATGTCGTATGAAAACTACTTAAAATGCATAAGAAATATAATATATAATGAATTTAATCGTAACATTCGTTTATCGATAATTTAACTTAAGATGACTTGATACTTCAAATAATTAGTTTATATTGTGATGAGTAATTAATTTCCATATCACTAAAATGAATAAGTTTTGACTTTATATTGAGAGACGTTTCGTCGAAGTATAATATTAAATGCAATATTTTAATAATTATCAAATATAGAACAATAGAAGAGACAAATAATGATGGCACATTTAAGATCATAAATTTGTGCGTATAATTAATAACCTTTCATAATTAACGAGCAAATAATTTCAGTATTAACAAAATGAAGTGCACTTATAACTGTTAATCTTTAGATAAAAAAGAGACTACATGATAATAATGTGATACTTAAGATAATAAATTAGTTGAAAATATTAATCGTTAGGAGTAAATCATTTTCGTATTGTTACGCCGTTGAGATTAAATTAATAGCCAAATTGGCAATTATTTCTTATCTTTAACATAACAATGATAACAATAATAACAAAGTCATCAATTAGTATTTAATCATTTGAAGAAAAAAAATGATAAAAAGAGAGGAGGAAGAGGTCTAAGGTGGTGGTGGTGATGGTGGTGGTGTTAGTAGCTGACTGAGAGAAACCCGTGTGTGTTTCAGCAGCATCCGAATGCAACCAACAGTAGCGAGACGAGCGTGGGTGGTGTATCGGGTGCATGCGGGAGCAGTGGTATGGCAGGTACAGCGGATGCTGGCTGCAGTAGCAGCAGGGGTGGAAGCAGCAGCGGGGCCGGTGGTGGCGGTGCCGGTGCCGGTGGTGGGCCCGGTACGACCGGACAGGGCTGCGAACAGGTCCCTTCCTCTCATTCGACCAGGGAGAGCCACGCCAAGTTCAGGCACGGCCTACTACAGCTTATGATCCATACGATCGATCCGCTCCACGACGGTCAGTCCCGCGCCGGTATACCAACTCCACACTCTATCACTCTCGCTTGCCAGCTTTCTTGCTTTTTTTTCCCTTAGAACAAAATCCACGCTCTATATATTTTCCTCCGTTTTGTCTTTCTTCCATCTCTATTTGTATTTCTACCCTCTTTTGTTCTTATCCTATCTTCATCTCACACTTATTCTTACATACACACTACTTTTTTATTCTGTATCTTTTGTTTGTTGGTTTGGTAACCAACGCTCATTCGTTCGTTCGTTTCTTCGTCGTGTCGTGGTACCCTTTATTTTCTTTTTTGTCACCTCATCCTCATTCCAGTCCTTAGAAAAACAGCTAAGCTTACGCAGTTCTGCGCAAACGCACAGCACGCTGCGTTTGTTCGTTCTAAAGCATCTTGAAAGTTGTGTCGTCGTCGAGGAGTCGACTTTTCGAGGTACATCTTTTTTTCACTTCTTGTATATTTTTGTTCTATCAGTAGTAGTACCCCTATTGTTGTATATTATTGACGAAGATTTGTAATATATATCGTAGATCGTTCGTAGATCGTTCGTAGATCTTAGTAAGGATTTTATATTATGAAACTTGGATACACGTTGTAAATACAAACCTTTAGAGTAGACTAAAGTTCAGTAACCCTAATAGAAATGAGAATTTCATGAAAAATACGTGTAGATGGAATATAATTGATCGTATTGTTCAAATAGAAATCTTAATTCGCGTATAGGAAGCACGTAATCTGAGGATAAAATTGATTTTGGAGTCGGTCAGACGTCGTATTAAGGAAGGTGATGGTTATATAAATGGGTCAGGTCACGCGGTCGTGGAAAAGAAAAGAGTGATCATCAATTAGACAAGCCTTTCATACGAATCTTCTCAGCGGGATTCAACGTATCCGAGTTGAGAAGGACGTGAAACCATGCGGAACTAACATATATCGACAAGTTCCTCTCTTTCTCTTTCTTTTCCTATCTATTTTTCTTTATTTCTATCTATATCTATATCCATGTAAGTATGCCTATATAGATATACATATATCTCTTCTATTCACCCCCATCCCTATTCGTCTACCACGAAAGTGGAAGAGAATCTTCTCGTGAAAGCACGTCATTAATCTCGATTGCGTGGGAAATGTTCAATACCCGCTAAGAGAGAGAGAGAGAGAGAGAGAGAGTGAGAGAAAGAAACGTGTGTACACAGACATATCCGTGAGTAAAAAACGCTCGGGAAGCGATCTTTTTCCGATGGAAGAAAAAACGAGGAAGAAAAAAGAAGAGAGAGTTACTAGATGTATCTCTTTTTCCTTCACCAACGACATTTTCACGAAGATCGTCGAGAAGGAAAAGCATAGTAAACGATGACGAGTTGATAAAGAGAGAGATAGACACATTGACAGAAAAGAATATTCTTTACCTTCCGTACCAGCTCAAACGAATTTGTAGAACACGTTTTGAGTAGATCCGGAAAAGTATTGGTGAGTTTATATGTCTCTCTCTCTCTCTATCTCTATATGTATGTGTGTATGTATATGTATGTATCGAGACCCTGACCTAGAAAGGTACGTGTATCGATCGAAACTAGCGAATCCACGCTCTCGTGGGCTTGCCTTCCTTTTCCCTTCCTTTAACTTCGTGCCTTCAACGTCATCGAGACACCACGCTGTGCTGACATTCGAGATAACACTGTCACCGACAAAACTCTTTCCCTCCCTCCTATCCACCTTCGTCGCCACCTTGTTCACTTTTTTTCTCTATCTCTTTCCTTCTTGTCTACCCTATTTTTTGGGATATCCCTTTTCTATATAGTTAAGAAGGGGTAAGAGGCTGAATTGGAACATGGTATCCTCGCCAATGATCCTGTGGTAAGCCGATCAGAGTTTCTATTTAATCCAGATTTCACTCCTTTTCCAGCCCTTTTACAACCTAGACTCTTCTCGGTCGATGCTTTTAGTCTAGGCTACGAGACGTTCCACTTTCGCATAAACATCGTCATTCTATAATTCACATTCTCTACCATAGTTGGTTAATTCATTTCGTTTAATTATTTATTCCCTTTCCGTTGTTAACAATTTTTTGGGGGAGAAATTCTACTATATTTTTATCTTATTTTTACTTTTCTTTTTATTCGCAAAGTATGTTTTTTCATAATATCATAGAATATTTTTCATTCCAAAAATTAAAATACAATTAATTAAAAATAATCTGATAGAATAAAAAAAGTGAATTTTTGTATTAGGCAACAAATCACTTCTTCTTAATGCTTTCACAAATGATTCATTAATTATCGTTAGCTTATTTTCTAAAGACGACTAGAATGATGACCTAACAACGATAAGTACATAATACATTCGTGAAAAGGCTATTATGCCTATTTTCCTAATTTTCCAACTGATCGATTCGAACATTTTCGTAGAGTAGAATTGCTCTGTGACTTTAATGCGTCATGATTAAAGTGACAGTTCCACATTTAGACGCGAAATCTTTCATGCAGAATGTAAACCAATCAGGAAAGAGGTCACGAAGAAAAGAAACGACGAGATTTTGTACTTTCGCGAACATAAAGAACGTTCGTAATGTTTTTAGTAAAGTGACATTTATCTAAAGATTTTTTAAGTAGACGCGAGATTATCGGCTTTGTAACGAGTTCAGAATCACAAGTTTCCAAATCTTTTCTGGGATGAAGTTTAATAGAATGGAACGTGCGTGTGTCTGCATAGAAAGGAGAAAGAACGTATTGAAGGATGAATCGTGCAAGAAAAATTGAAAAAAACAGAATAAAAAATTAATTCAATATAACAAGAAGATTCATAGAAAGAAGTGGGAGGTATAATAACAAAATTTTATTCACCCTTTCTTCTTTTTTTTCGTGTACGTTTTAATATCAAGGGACCGAATGAATATCTAGACCTAATATAATATTTAGAAATAAAATTGTAATATACTTGAGATATCTTTGAAGTACTCATAATACGTTAGCGACGTATCGTTGCAGATCTGAACACGAGTTTCTACTTGATCTCTAGTGACTACTTTCCATCCACGTGAGTGAACACGTCGAGTATCTTAACATTCATTGTCAAAATCAACGCATGAGATGTCACTTTCTACTCCCTCTTCTCTCTTATCTCTGAGGAATAATGTTAACAAACGAACCCACGGTGTTCCTTAACTCGTATGCAATTTATTTTGAGTAATTTGAGTTTATCGAGCGAAATGCTCTTTGAGGTTTAAGCCTGAACCTCAGGGGTTCCTTACGAGATCTCTATTTACCTAGTTAATTACGACTAATTGCTTTTCGACTATTTACCTCTCTCTCTATCACATTTACTTTCTCTAAATATTTCTATTTATCGAATATATTTCTTAATCTAATCTATCAATTAAATAATATTTCGTTTTCATATATAACTACATTCATTTATAATCCTTATAACTAATGAACAACTTGTCATGTCAGATAATATTAATAACTTGAAAAAATATACAAGAAAAAAAATACTTCATTAAACTTGGACGATAACTTTGACGAGGATACCTAATGAAATCTTGATTTTACTCTAATCTGATTTATCCCTCTTTTATAGTACACTTAAATATATATTCATTTTTCATTATAATTAGAGTTTTATATTAATAAACCTAGTGCAATTTATTAACGACTCGTTGCATTTAAATATTTTATATTAATTTAAATAAAATGTACTTATATATTTTTTACGCGCAATGATATTTTGGTTAATTTATGTTATTATTTGGACAAGATAAGTCAATAAAAGTTTTTCTTAGTTTTAGAATTTAAGATCGTCGACATTTGAAGAGCGAAAAAAAGTTCTTTTCGTTCTTCGTACTTCAGACGCACTCATAGTTATACGAAGAATACAAAACTCTAGTGTTTACCTGGATGGAACGTAGTCGTGGTGGTGGTAGTAATGGGGAGTTGCATTGTGTGTATACGTGCATTCTGTGTAGCCGTGACAGTCGTCAGCAAATGTTAGGTGCGATCAATCACACGAACTTTTGCATTAGAATTAACTTCTGTCCACGCGAGTTCTTCGTTGAAAAATTCGTGCACTCTTCGGAATACAATCTTCAAATATCGAACGACCGGATATCGGTTAAGAAATATTGTTTAAATAGTAGAACGCGAGCGAGTTGATTGATCTATTTCTACATTTTTTTTGTTCCTTTTTCTACTATCAATTTGTGAATTTAAAAAATTTCTTTTATATCCAATGTTCACACATTTAAATCCACACATTAAAAGCCATTAGTCAGTTGACAAGCACAACCTTCGTCAAGTATTTAATGATTACCTGTAATTACTAAAGACAGCATCGAAATCGGAAGTCGATTGAAACAATATTTGCCTTTAACCAAAGCAAACGGATATTTTCAAGGTTTTTATTTTATTCGTCGGGGAGTCTTAGCTAATGTATGAGATATACTAGCTTACGGAAAATAAAGATGAAAATAACGCGAGAACGCTTGAGAACGTGCTAATAAATCCAATTACTTTTTACCTCTCGCTTGTCGGGGTGCTTGAGAAAATGCGACTAACGATTTTCTCTCTCTCTCTCTCTCAAAGTAAAAAGAAAAACGTCAGAAGAGGAGGAAACGGTTATGTCTTCTTCGTTAAATTAATTTTTCTTTCTCGTTAATCAACTCGTCGTGCCTCGCCTTTCTCGCTTTTTTTTTTTTTTTAACCTCTTAGATAACGAATCTCAAATCTTAATCTTCATTTTGTCCAAAAAAAATATTAACCCTTCTTTTTCTAATCTCACGTCCTCATCTCACTCATTTATTCATCTCTCTTTCTCTCATTTCTTTTTTTTTTTGTAGGTCTAATCTTTGGTTTAATCTTTAACTGGTGATCTACTTAGCAGGGCCAAACCTTGGTGACATTGGGTTACTAAAAAATCACGTCTTATTTAATTTTGATTTTTATCTAAAAGAAATACCACATGTAATTTTGTAGCTTTAAAAGGAATATTAATGAATTAAAATAAAGAGAAGGAAAAATTGACAAGAATAGTTTAGATATGAAATTGAAATTAAATCCGTAGATTACATCCGATAGAACGAACGGCACGACTCCACTCGCAGAACATTGATTTTCAAAGTATAGTAAGAGATAAGAATGAATAACTATAGAGCATTGTTGTAATAAAAATAAAAGCAAATTTTAAAGACAGATCAAATTTCACTCTTATACTTTAACTACTTGCGTATTTATATATTGTCTAGTTGAAGTATGTAATTCTAACATGTATATATACCTATATTTATATTCATCGTGCTTTGCCATCCCCTGACTAGAGTTTTACGTCTTTCTTTTCTCGCCTCGTTCATACCTTCAGGGATGAAGGCCACTCACATTGGCTTTTTCTGTTTGACCTACTACTACACTACTACTACTATTACCAACACTAGTCAAAAAGCATTGGCCGGATGTGCGATTGGTCGAAGCTTCTACCGCGAGGAAGGGTAACTGGCGAATTAGATACTTTTTCGAGCTTTTTAAAGAACAATACAAAGAGGTCCCTCCCTCTCTTTCTTTGCTGTGTTCTACATCGACTTGTTCTTAAGATACATTAACAAGTCCTTTTTGTCCCTTTTTTTATTTCAACTAGTCGACGAATCGAAACATTGCTCGGAATTATTCATTTTCGACGATCGATATAACGCAAAAGCTTTAAGGAATATTTTCAGAAGGTCGATATATTCGAAAGTATGCATCATGTATGTATGTACATATTTGTATAGAAGTGTGTGGGATTTACAGATATTTTCATATTGTTCAAACACGTCAGAATCCTTTAACATTTTCTTCTCGCGCTTCGTTTGTTCCTATTTCTTTTTCGTTTTCTTTCTTTCTTTCTTTCTTTCTATCTCGTTGTTTTTATTTTGGCAAGGAGTATTTAAGTAATTGAAATAACCTGGTACGGAGTCATACTCTAACTAACAATTTGAAACTACTTATAATTGTTTCATGAGAGAGAAGCGAGCTGGAAGTAGAGTATCCTTCATATTCTTCGACACGTGTTCACGAGAACGTTGAATACAACAGAGAAAATAGTTACAAGGTTGTACTCTTATACACGGAGATGAAATACTTGAAGAAAATTAGATATATATATATATATTAGAAAATAAAGCTTTATTTTAAGAGATATTTTATACAACAAAATTGTCAATGAATTAGTCTATTCTAATCGATTCTATGATTCAACATTCATCTAGGAAACTCTCTCGTTATCAATTAGGAGTAACGTTGATAGATAAGTATCATCGAATAATTAATGATTTAGGAGATATCAATACATCGATCGACTACTTGTTGATGTTCAGTTATCTTTTAATGAAAAGGGACTCGCGTTTATTTTTTTCCTAGTTATTAGATATACAGTAAGTTACAGAAGTATTCGTATCCCTACTATCACACACATATATAGCTAGATATTTATTTCAAGTATCGTCCTTAGCATTCATTTTTACGGTTGAACAACGGCCATATGAAACAGCTTTTAGCAATTAGTTGGAAAAGGGATATTGTTAAAACGATGCTGGATATCCGGTCGGTCGAACGATAATCGACAGTTCACGTGTAAATGAGGTAACTCATGATTAAAGGACGAACCAGATACAAATTTAGACGAGAAAGAAACGACCAAGTGCACCATCGTTTCTCGAGTTTAACTAATTTAAGTGGGACTCGATGGTTAAAATACACATTGATCAATTAGTATGCGTGTATGGTACGTGTTTTATTAAAACATAGACCTTTAACGCGTTAAGGGACATCATAAGGGTTCCTTGGTCATTTATAAATATAAAATTAATACTTTATGTGTAATATATTAATTTTGTATTATATTATTATTAATATTTCAACAGAGTGTTTCTGATAGTTGCAAAATCTTGTGATCCTAAGGTTAAGCATCTAAATTTTAAATATTCGATTTATTTATTTGGCGTAATAATTGATTTGAATAATTCGAAATAGGATTTATGTATACATAAGTATATCCATTTATCGAAAGTCATTTTTCTAAAGAGGATTTAGGTGAGAGCAAGCAAGCAGACAAGTAAAGCTTCGCACGCTTTGCACGAAACGACTCGAGCAGGCTAATCCGATCGTAAGGGATGAAACCTAAACGTTGTTCACGTGGGAAACTTCGAACGTTCTCGTAGCACGCTGCCATAAGTCGTAGACGAGTGCCTCATTCGCTTACGCATAACATTCAAACAAATCTTATTAACACTTTGCCAAAAATTCTAATCAAATTTCATTTCAATTAGCAGCAATTAGAGTAAAACAAACAACTCATTTTAACGAGGAATGTGTAAACTTTCCTTCATTTTTGTATCATATAAAAATTGTTGCTTTTTTGTTGTTTATTATCTAATAATTAAAATAAATACTCAACACATTCAATTGATCATTGAAATTTGAATATCGATTAAAAAGAATACGAAGAGGTAGTTAACACGTAGTGGCCATTGCAATCATTTAGCACATATTTTCATCGGTCGCTAGCTTTCGTCTGGCTTTTCCTAGCATGCTTTTAACAACATGAAGAGGCCTTGTAGATAGTATAGAAAAGCGATTCAAATTGATATCAATGAAAATCGCACGAGGATAGGTTAAAGTAGATTAGAGTAGTATAATACAGTATTCTTCAAACTTGTCTAATTGAAAATTCCAACAAAAAAAGTACATTAATATAATATTTAAATTGTAAAGAAATTTTTAATTAAATCTTACATTTTTTCTCAATATAAAGTTTGTTATTCAAAAACAAGTATCGTATTTATAAGAAATTAATGAGATATCGTAGAAAAAAAAATTCCATCGACAACGTAAATACATTCTGATAATATAAAAATGAAAAATCTATCATGTCGAGTTGATAGAAACTCTGTTTCTCCAATATAAATCCTTGAATTGAATCTTTTAAATATATAGATTTTTCTTCGATGAGAACTTTGAAGTAGAAAATTGTTAGAAATATTTGTGGAATTAAATGAATATGATGAAAATGAAAAAGAAAAAGGACAATTTGAAAAAGACTGTTGTAGAGAGTTTGGGTTAGGGAATGGGGTGGTGTATACACGCTCCGCTTTCATTAACCTGCATCATCCTTGTCCACTATTCAGGTAAGGTGGACGAAAAAGCGACGCAGCTACACGCGATAGCGTCTTTGAAGGTGCTACTGGATGCAACGAGGCCTCACAACGGTGCTGCGACCTCGACAGCGGCCCATTATTCCGGTACAACCTCTAGGGAGACCACCCTACAACTTCAACAGGGTTCTCAGGGTACCACAACGACCACCACGACGACGACTACTACTGCTGGCACCACAGCTGGCATTCAGGAACTTCCAAACGGCGGTATAGCCGCCGGTCTCGACGCCGGCCTCGAATCGGTAATTCTTACATCTATACCGGGTGTCCAACTTATTTCCCAATCCCTTATTTCCAATATTCCCCCCTTTAGCTCAAGGACCAATTTCGAACTGGAAAAAAAAACATCGCATCTACAAGTTATTTCCAATTTTTATATCTTTCTTTTAGTTTTTATTCTAAAATAAGTAATAACCATTACTTTTTTTTTTCTTCATTATAAAGACAATCTGACACTTTGAACAGTTTCGATTGTTTAATTAAAAATACGAATCAGTAGGCAACAGTTTGATTTGAAGTATACACGCTGTATGTAAATATCGGATAACGAAAGAAGAGAAAATCTAATTAGTCTGAGAACAAACAAGAAGAATACAGTAGGTAGAAATGGGGTTACAAATAATAAGCTTTTATTTCTAACTAATTATTATATCCAACTTTTCGATTAATCCGATATATTATTTGACCTGGAAAATGATTGTCCCTTAAGTCTTTTTTATTATTTCTTTTCTTTTCTTTTTTTTTTTTTTTTTGCACATAAAAACATTTCGAAACGAGCGAATGTGAAATTTTAAATTTAAGAACCGATTGATTATATTAGACACATAACTCTCGAAAATAGTATCAAAGTAAGACACCCAGTATGTATATGCAATCAATCATTACGTACTTCGAATAGTTTTCCCGCCTGCTAACATTCCTTCCTTCCTGTTTCCTTAAGATATCCTTCTGGAACGTGTCACGTGACCAATCATCATTCTTTTCTTCCTTATCCTACAAAGAAATGGTGAAGGATTGATTGAGTGAGGGAGAAAGAGAGAGATAGAGAGAGAAAAGGGGATAAGAGGGAAATAAAGAGAGGTTAAAAATGGGGGAAGGAAGATTAACGGGATAGAATATTACTACTTCGTCTATTCGTTTGCTAACTACAACGAGGTCATTGGGTCAAATTGAAAGGCATTAAAAGTAAACTTATTTTTAAACTGCGTTATGTATAAAGAGTGGGAGGAAGTTGTTAGGAGAATGCTTCGTTATTCGCAAACGAGAGCATCGTTTGACGTCAAACTCTTGATATCTTTCTCGATGTTGCGTGAGTGCTCTATCTCTCTCTCTCTCTCTCTCCCTCCCCCTTCCTCCCTGTATTTTCTTCGCAAGGAAACGCGTTTACGAGATACACAGAATAGTTAAAGGTACGAAACGATCGGCCGTGTTTCTCAGCCCTTTAACATTTTTCAACGATCGATAAAGTGCATTTAGAATTCTACTCAATTATTCTCATTTTCCCTGTCGGCCAACCGAATGAGTACTTTTCACGGTTAATCTCTTTTTATCTAACCACTGTACGAATATTTTCTTTTTTTTCATTTTCTAGTTAAATGTTAAACGTTAAATGTTGGTTAAGAATTTCGATTTAGTTATAAAACGAGAACTTTTCCCGTCGACTTCGCGTACGAGTACTTATCGCATTTAATCGGGGTTCTCCATGTAATAAGTTATTTATTTTCTACCTTTTTTTCTTTCTTTATTTTGTTCTTGCAATTAATGTTAAATTGTTGGTTAAATAATTGGGATTTATTTGCAATATTCAATCGGTTTGTTTTAATCTTTCGATCAGAGTTATTTAGATAAGAAAAACGTATATTGTCTGATCAATGATGTCCTTGTACTACTTAGATACTAAGGATAAGTGCAAATACGTGTGTATATCGATTTAGGAAATAAGAAAAAGGGAAAGAAAGAGAAAGTGAGATAATAGAAACGTATGGAAAAAGAAATTCTGTAAAATGATATTTTATTAAGAATTTTTCGACAATATGTGTCGATCTAATATATATTAACAATATATATACATATATATATAAATATAATATAAACTTTAAAAGAAAAATTCAATACTATCAATCGAACGAACTAATTTTTATTATTGTAATTAATAAATGTTGTGAGACAGTTTAATAATGATTAGATATTGTAATATTTGTTCTTTTTCATGTTCACGAGGCGTGTGAGGTTTATGTAAAAAGCGATTGCTTCGGAAGAAAACGTTCAATAGGCTTTCAGATAACGACGACGAATGATGTAGAGGCATATGTATATACATATAATAATATATATATATATATATATATATATATATATATTGTATGTCATACGTAAGTACAATTGTTACTCGGAAAAAAAAGAGAGTGTGTAGGAAAGAAAGATCGATAAATTTTTATCTACCTCGCGAATAGGCGGCAACTGTTATACACATTTATATATATGTTTATATATATGAATATATGTATATATATGTGTATGTGTGCACTGAAAATTATGTATATCTATGCATACATATCTATCTATCTTTTTTCTCTTTCTCTCTCTCTCTCTTTGTGAGTTTCCTAAGGGAGAAGCGTATGACAGTCGATGTAAAAACGTAAAAAACGTAACAACCGATATCGGTCCTGTCTTTGCGCTAGCTTATTTATCAGATCCTATCGAAACTTTCAACCTACTATGATAGAAAAACAAATATCGAGTAATTCGTATGGATCATGACGAGGTTAACGAGAGACACTTTATTCGATGATAGATTACATTGACATATTTCTCGATAAGTTGCAACATTTTTATTTATTTTCATTTTATTCGAAAATAAAATATAATATATATATTCTCTTTGTTTTAGAATAGTTTGAAAGTTTATATATATATATATATAGGAATACATATACATACATACATAACGCATAATCCTTATGATTTATTTCGGAAATAAAACAGCTGTTGCCTTCTTCTTCTTCATCTTCGTTTCGGTATATTCCAGTTTATACTCATACGCGAAAGAATAGAAATTTTTCAAGCGAAATCCGAATATAGGATACACATATTAGATATTTTATTTGTAAACTCGTATACCTCGTAAATTCTCTTTTATACGAAAAGGACCATCATCCTACGAAATACGATATTAAGTTTGAAATAAAAAAACAATGTTCGAATATCTTTTAATAGGAAAGATAAAAGGATAGAGATTATTAAATGGAATATTATATTTATTTTGAGAAAAGGACGAACAATCGGGAATCCTAATTACGATTTTAATTCGAGACACATTCTTTCCAACCTCCTTCTTTCTTTTAGTCGGTTAGGGAGAAGCGAAGTTTAGACTTTTTTTTTCACGGCTAAAAATCGAGCGACCAAGCCTTTTTCGGGTTGATATTAGCTGCTGGTTTCAGGTTGGCGCCGATGGCAGAGATCCTCCGGCCGCTTTGTCCTAAATGAGCGAAAAGGCCTTTTCATTTTGAATGCACCGCGGAATCTAGGTCAATGCTGGCTACACCCACCACCAACACCAACTAACTCGTCTTCTCTTTTCTACATTGCACTCGCTGCAACTTGCACTCTTCTTCTGCTACTATTACTACTACTACTAGTTGTCTTCCTTTTTTTCTTCTTACCAACGTCTCGTTGCAAAGTCACTAGCCGCCGGCTTTTTCGCTGGAATTCCGGATTTTACAAAAAAAACTGGACACCCTTCCACGGTCATTTTCGATCTGTGACCTTCCCTTTCTCCTTTTATTTCATTTCCCTTCGAAGTTTTAACATTAATATTTATTATTCTCTTCATTTTTCATAAGGTAGTCATATCACGTTTGTCTCAGTTCATGAATGTTTTACAATTGATAATTATTTTGATCATCTTTCATATCGTTAAAAGCTTTTCCCATCTTTTTCCCTTTATTTTTCGGTTTGTATTAATATCTTTTTGTTCTATGGACAAAAATTGATTCAAGTGATTGCGAGTACTATATCGAATTTCGTACAGTTTCCGTAAGCTTTTTCAATGGCTATTAAAAATGTGTTGAAAGGATTGAATGTTACATTAAATTTTTCACAGCTCATATACCTAATATTTCATTTTTCTTCAATTTCTCTATTTCAATGAAAACCTGCTTGTCCCATAAAAATGATAAATGAAAAATACTAAAAAGGTGACGTCGCACTTTTTACGATTTATGTCATTAATCTTTTACTTTAGTTTAATTCGTTTATATATAAAAGAAGAAAAGGAAAACATACATAATATTAATTATAATATAAAAGATTGAATTAAAAATAGGGAAACTTATAAAATGAAAATTATGATACATTACACTTTGTAGGTGAGCAAAAGTTCTTACAATAATTCTTCGTCCTTTTTAATATATACTTCGTAGATCTTTCTAGAAAAATCATTTTTGTATGAATTTGAATGCGAAAACACGTGCATATCCAGTACACATCGTTATGTTCCTTCGAACGACGCCTCTTCGTGGGTAATTGCCGCTCCTCGTGTTATAAGGTACTAAGTGCAGAGAAATGTAACAATTTTGGTCGCTTTAATGAGTACACGTGTTCACCACTAAAATATTTCTCTCTCTCTCTCTCCCCCCTTCTCCTTCTCTTTCTCTTTCTCGACACATCTAGAAACATCTCGCAATTTCAACACACTTTACTCTCTTTAACAAGATATATATATGTATGTACATTTTTATTGCCCTAAATTACATTAATTCTAACAAAACAAAAAAAAAGAGAAAATGAACATTTTTACAAGCATAGAAAATAAACAGAATTTATTTGTTTAATTTTAAATGTGTCATTAATTTCAAATATTATCGAATGAAAAAAAGAAAAACTGAGAGAGAGTTATCAATATATATTAGAATAGATTTACAATAATTCTATTTGTGCTTGGTTCGATATATTGTTTATGAAACATCGAGTATGATAAAATCATTGTAAAGTAGAATATCAATCTCAATCTCAGTATCTTGTTAATAAACCATTTACTTAAAAACAACAAGGGTAGTTGTGAGAATTCAAGCAGAGTCACAGAAGCTATTGTAGTTGGTTTATCCAAGGATGAATAAGGGCTTTCTTTGTGCCTACGCCACGGATTGCAGTTTTTCGAAGCTTATCCCTAGCGTCAAGTTTATTGTGTTTTCTAACAATACACTTCATGATGCCTTCTTTTGCTTTCTCTCTCTCTCTCTCTCTCTCTCTCTCTCTCTCTCTCTCTCTCTCTCTCTCTTATTCTTTTAAAAAGAACAGGATAAAGTAAAGGAGAGAGAAAGAATATGTATACGTTACTCTCAATGATAAAAGTTTGCTGACTGACGATTGTATCATGTCTTTGTAGATGTCACACGTTAAAGACCAAATCTGATTGAAATATTACAGAATGATGGGGATAAGAACAAAATGTTTTGGCAGTAAGAAAAAGATAGGAAAAAATTATACGTAATATCTTATTCAGAGTTTGTTAATTTAGATTAATATGTTTCTTTTTCTTACGCGTTGTTTCAGGGCGAAGAGGATGAGCCTCCAGAAGCCTTGGATATGGCCTGGCCTAGTAATTTTAAGAAGAGGATAACTTATATATTAGTAGCACCGATTCTCTTTCCTCTATGGTTAACTCTACCAGACACACGAACGCCCAGAGGTATTATTTTTTTTTTATCATTAGAGTTTTAGAGAGAACATTATTTTTTAAATGTTGAATAATTTATTTCGAACATTTCACAACGATTTTAGAAATTGTTCATAAAAGATTATAATGTAACGATATGTTAACTACAAATATAATATCGATAATAATACATCGATAGAAATAATAATAATAATAATAATAATAATAATAATGTAAGATACGAGTAGGAGCTTCGAAATAATCGAATAAAGACTCGATTAAGTAGAGTGCACGTGGGTAACGTCCTTTATTACGCTCGCTATGGCAAATTGTTGCGATCTGCTGCTGAAGGGACGAAGAGAGAGTATGTCGTGAGTAATATCGAGATGGGGTGGTTTTACACGAGAAAAAATGCGAAGAAAAGATAGAGAGAAGGAGAGAGAGGGAGAGAGAGAGATAATGAAGAGCCTTCAATTTTTTTTAATATTCATATTTAACAAACTACTCCTCCTTTTTCGAAATAAAATGTTAAAAACTTGTAATGCAAAAAAATGAAAGTATCATTCATTGATGATAAATGATATAATCCCTTAATGTTCGTGTTTAAACAAATTATATGCGAAGATTATACTAAAACCTATATTAATTGTCTGCTTGTAAATACCAATTACTCTTGATCAAGATTTTTTATGTTCATTTTTTTTTCAGATTATAAAAGTAGAAGATTGAGTACAAGTTTTAAAAGTATCGAACAAGAGTAATTGATCTTTTAAATTAACTTATAATTCTGAACTCTTATAAGTTATACTATAATTATTCTATAATACTACCTTTACTGATATTGATATATTAATTTTATTATAATTATATCATTACCAATCAAATTAACATAAGTATATAGATTAACTTTTTGAAGAAGATGAATAAATAATTAATTTTTTTTAAAATGAAAAATATATAATCCATACAAATGAGTTTTTGAAATGAAGCATTATACGGGGTTAATTTTGAAATATAAATTCAACTCTCGTATTTGGAAAATTACACACATCAATCACGAATGGAGAAGAGAAACGATGCATTATCTGGCATCTATTAATGGCCACAATATTTCGAAGTGACACAATGCTTGCGACGAAAGATGATATTGACGCGCTAATTTCGAATCGGCGCCTGATTGTTGTCCTGATCGACGTATTGTGTGTGTCTATTCAATCGTCCAATGAATCACGTCCCACCATACCTATATAGTATATATATACATATATATTGTATATCATCCACCCACCTACACACACATAAATATAATAAACCCATACTTATTTAAACAAGCAGATGCATACTTTAAATATATAATTACCATATATGCATTACACACAGACAATTAAAAAATTATAAATTTTGTTCGGTCAATATTTGCAATTACAGCATTGTAGGTCTATAAATAGAAACATTTCATCTTGGGATTAAAAACTAAATATTATAATTGTATGTGTTTAAATTAATACTTTTGGGACACTCCGTATATAGGATTATATATACCTTTCAAGCTCTTTTCAATCTTCTTTAAAGCGTTTCTTTATCGATCGATAAAAAGCAGATCAAATTTTAGATATTTTCTCCGCAAGTATATCTAACATAAGAGAGATTGAGAGAGAGTGAAAGAAAAGTAAAAAAAGTGCAAATTTCAAATGGAATTTTTAGAGATAGAAAAATAATCGATGAATGACTTTCTCTTTTATGATGTCAATAAAACGAATTTGATAAAGTGAACAAACGAGAGAAAAAGGATAGAGGGAATTGACAAACGAGAATTCGAAGGAGAAGGAGAATTGGAACGAGGGATCGGATTAGATTACTGAAAGATTAGGAGTCCTCAAGTGCGATTAGTTTTTTTCGATCGTTCCAATAACCGATCGTCATTTACTCGTGTCACGAAATGCGCATCATCGGAAACCACTTACTTTACCTAAATTCACATTGTGTAAGGTTCTTTCGGAATGAAAAAGTAACCATCGAGGCGAATGTTTCATTGAAGAAATTATTGTAGTCGTTAGGTCTGAATAATGTTAATGCCAACGTAGTAAGGAGGATTTTCTTTGGATTTCAGGAAAAAAATTCTTCGCGGTAACATTCATCGGATCGATCGTGTGGATAGCTGGATACTCGTACCTGATGGTCTGGTGGGCAAACGTTGCTGGTGATACCGTTGGTATACCACCGGAAGTAATGGGTCTGACGTTCCTGGCTGCCGGTACCAGTATTCCCGATCTCATCACAAGTGTCATCGTCGCACGAAAGGGATTCGGTGATATGGCAGTATCGAGCTCTGTCGGTAGTAACATCTTTGACGTCACTGTTGGGTAAGCAAATTCATTATCATACTTTCATAATCTTAATCTTTATTTATTCATTCCTATCTCTCATTCTAACTTTTCATCAATAATTATGATCACATGTAAACCGGATCATCCATGAAAATCATTGCACAGTCGCGCGGACACAGTTAAATAAATTTATTTTCATTTATCATTATTCGATCTTTTTCGATAATTATAAATATGCAGGATGTCTCAAAACGCATTGTTTAAGCAAATAAAGAGTAAAATCTCGAGTACACAGGTTTAATAAGAAGAGATCAAGTATAGCTAAATAGAAAGATAATATAGGTTAGTGATTTTTAATTTAAACAAAAAGCTTCCCGAGGAGGTCAACCTAATTCAAATTGGAATGAAGTTGGCGGTCAGTAGAGGAGAAACGGATTCGGCGGTCACGATGGTCGACCTATCGTGGTATTCTCGTTATCCGTCAGTAATCGCGTTCGCCATTCGTTTCTCGTATTATTATATCGTTGATCGATCAAAATACCACGAATACTATGCCGTACGTTATTCATTTCCCACCTTGAACCGCTAAGAATATTTCTCTCTCTCAAATCCGCAGATCAAATTTTCCCTCTCACTATAAGAGCTCGTGGTAGATGAATTTTTTGGCCTCGATTATATCACGCCAATAAATTTCTACTCGCGCAAATGAATACGCAAAGAATTCGTGAATTATTATTCTGTTGATAAGATAATGCGAAAAAGAAACTGGGACATCCTGTATATACATATATATATAATAATTTATTAAATTTAATTATCAAATAAATATGCACGTATATATATATAGTTGAGATTATTTTGATGTAATCTTACATATATTGTCCATTTCCGAACAATTGATTAGGAATCTTTGAAAATGAAATTTTACGTTCGACCGAAGACGGAACAGTTCTGGCAGTCGATTTTTCATTGGAGGAACGATGAAAGGATAGAATCCGATCAACGGTCGATCGATCGATTGCGATCATTTTGTACAATCTATTTCGGTATCTGCCAGTTGGCAAAATGCCTGAATCGGAAACGAACGAAGCTCTAGTTCCTTCTATTTGTACAGAACGTTCTCTTTCGAAGTAGAGAATCTCATTTTGTAGGAGAAAACGCTTGCAAAAAAATCACTCGAATAATGTCCTTGATATTGATCGATCTATCAGTTTCACGACGAGGTCAGAAGAATAGAAGGAAGGAAAAAATCAAAAAAGAGGATAAAAATGAAATATTTTATCTACAACTTGCAATTCTCTCCTAGCTTCTGCACTGATCACATTATTTATAAATTACACAAGGATGCTTTCAATTTGAGAAATGAATTTCAAATGATTAAACAACATATTTTCGCGATAACAAATTAACAAGAATACATCTTCGATATAAACACACACACACACACACATATACATGTATGTATTTATTATCGCAGTGATTTTCTTTTAAACAAAACTGTTAACAGGCTTCCGGTACCGTGGCTCCTCTACGGCTTGATCTATGGGAAGCCAGTGGAGGTGAACTCGGTGGGTATGGTGTGCAGCATAGCGATTCTGTTCTGCATGCTACTATTCGTGATTATAAGCATCGCCTGTTTCAAGTGGAAAATGAACAAGGGTCTCGGCTCCACGATGTTCCTCCTCTACTTCGCCTTCGTCGCTGTCTCGCTCATGTTCGAGTACGAGATTCTCGTCTGTCCGGTTTAGGAACGAAAACAAGAGCTAAATGCTCCTGAACAATATTGTCTCGTGTTCGTCATTGCAAAATGGCACCAAAAGTATCATCATCATCATAATAATCATCATCATCATGATCATTATGGTTATCATTATCGTTATTATCATCAGCAAGAACAGCGTGAAGGAACAACAAGAGCATCCTCGTCGAAGGAATCGACGATCTCTTCCTCGAGCTGAGGATTTGTGCGTTCTATCGATTTCATGAAAAAGGAAAAGGAGGAGGGGGGAGAAGGGAGCCTTTCCACGACATCGTCACCATCGACCACACCACCACCACCACCGCTACTACTACCACCACCATTAGTACACCACTATTCTACTACTACTACTACAACACCACTACCACTAGCATCAATACAGTCAAGCATCGCCACAGACAGTCAGTCAACACCCACGTAAGAAGAAGAAAAAATCTTTCTTCTTTATAGTCGAAGATGTACATATTGTATAAACCTTGAAATACCTGAAACGAAATACTCATCTGATCTTAAAAAGATTCACGATGGCTCAAAAGCACGAGCTATCATTCGTTCGTTCGTTCGTTCGTTCGTTCGTTGAGAGGCCTGGCGAGAGCGTGTCAGCCGATCGTGCCAAGGATTACAAAGTATGGAAGGAACAAAGAAAAAAAGATAAAAAGACAAAAAGATATTACCGAGAAAACCAAGGAATCGTGTTCCTCTCTTGCTTGCTTCATATGTTATCTTGTAAAGAAAGAAAGAAAAGAAAGGAAGAAAATAAAGAAAGAGAGGGGAAAAATAATATTTATTTGTTAAATTATATACAGTTATATAAATGATATCACGTTTGATGATGATTAAAAATAGCAGAAATAAGGGAAAGAGAGAGAGAGATAACTATATAGGACAGTTAATCCAAAATTGCTAATAAATAATGAATATATTAATTAAGATACGTTATATCACTCGCGAGATAACTAATCCATCTATCGATACGCCAATTTTCGAACAGACGCGAATCACTTAATGAAAGAAAGGTGAGCCTACCTTTCTATTGTTGTTATTACTATGATTATTATTATTACTATTATTATTATTATTATTATTATTATTATTATTATTATTGTTATTATTAAAATTATGAAAGTTCATAATTTTTAATTTAGCGTGCAGCTTCTCTCGACGTTAAATACTTGAATACCAATGAATCGATTTATATATTCTAAATCTAATCTATCTCACTTACGTATATATATAACTATATATCTTTTATCTTTAGAGAAACAAATAGAACTATACTGGAAATTATTGTTACGACCAGAGCTCTCTTTCTTTCTTTCTCTCTCCCATTTTCTTTTTCACACTTTCTCTCTCTCTCTCTAATTTTCTGATCTAAAATTTCGATTCTTCATAAATTTCAAATTTGTTACGTCTATCATTAGTATCCATTAGGAAAAGAGAGCCATAACAAGAACATTATTAAAATGGTGTTGATACCTCTTGTGTTTGTGAAAAGGAAAATATAAAATGTTGAAGGGGGGGACAAAAAGGAAAGGGAAAGAGAAAGAGAAAGAGACAGGAAATATATTGGAAGAGAGAAAAAAACTATCTATAAGGTGGGAAAAAAATTAAATGATCTTTTAGAACGCTTATTGTGGTCAAGGAGTATTCTGACCACTCGTTCGCCTTGCTGCTTTCTCTCTAAACAAATTTTTGCGTCTCTAGTGGCTAGAGTAGAAACTTTATACTCTCTGTCGTGCTCACGGAACCGTTTTCTATCCGAATGTTTCTTCGATCGATCAGCAAAGCAAGATTCGCGTACTCTTACTTTTCAAATTGAAAAGAAAGAAAGAGAGAGATAGATAGATTAAACGATCGTCTTCGAATTAGCCTATAGGGTCTACGAGGACTATAATAAATAATAGGGACTTTGAATTTAAATCCTCTATTTCCATTACTTTTACTCTAACTTCAACTTTTCAAATTCAACATCTAACTTTTTTGGATCAACCAAACTGGACTACTGGAGTCGTCCCAAAAGTTACTTCCTTTTTTTTAATAATTTTGATATGCAATCAATATGTGTTTTATTTGATATTATTTTAACGAGTTATATTGAATCCATGACTATCTCTTTTCCCATAATAAAATAAAATAAATAATATTTTATGCATGTAAAATGTGTAATCGGGAAAAAGAACAAATTATTTGGGACGATTTAATTTTACTTTCTTTTTTTTTCATTTAATAAGGTTTTAGAGGGTTAAATATTAGTCCGAATGATACGCACATATTATACATACACTTACACATACACGAATACGTACGTGTGTAGATATAAAAGAAACGTCGACGGAACGTTTTTTTTTCCTTCGAAATGAAGGAGAGGGTCGATGAACGTTCTAAGAAAATGCGATCGATCGTAGGGCAATTGCATAACAGTCGAAATTAAAAAAGATACGTTTGTGTATGTATGTAATACCGAGGTTCGAAAATATCTTTGTAGTTGTAAAGACAAATTACATGATCTTTGTGATAAGAGAAGTTACATATTTATACATATATATTGTTATCTAATTTTTTAATCGCTCCATCCCCCTCTATTTATTGATAATTATATTTTATATTAAATAAAATGTACGCGTATGTGTATTATTCAATTTTCGAACCGCATGGTATAACATATATACTCTGATTAATTATTTATTAATAAATCGTATTGATATTTCTCTATCGTTGATCCGATCGATAGGAAAGATCGAAAAGATCGGACAATTTCTAATGAGAAATTCTAAAAAAGAACGGTTCTGTTTTTTATTAAATTTGATTAATATTATACCAAAGAACAATTCCTAAGAGGTTAAATACGGACAAGCCAAACTGGCCTGCCATCAATTCGCTCAAGATGGCGCCGAGCTATTAATATTGGAATTCTCAACTTCTAGCGATCGAAACGCGTTGTACGAGAATTGTAAAGAAAAGAAAAAGGAAAAAAGAAAAAAAATGAAAACCTACATAAAGAAAAAAAAACACTTTAGATTTCAACACTCTTGTACCGCTTGTTTTAATGCACTTTCACGTGTGTATATGAATGAATGAAAGAATAAAAAAATTTACGCGAATAAAAGTCATCGATCAATTAAATTCTCGTACGACGATTTTCTTACAAAGCGCATTTCAAGATGGCCGAGTATCGATCGGATTCGAAAGCAAAGAAAAAGAAGGGGTCGATAGTTCTAGAGAGAGAAAGAGAGAGAGAGAGAGAGAGACGGAAACGAACTTTTTTTCTACAAAGTTAATAATAATTAAAAGTAAACAAAATAAATTGGGGACCCACGCGAAGAGAAATATGGTATTTTACAACGCGTAAGGTTACTCACGGTAGATACAAGGAACATAATCGTAAATCTCAACGAATCCGATAAATACGCGTTCAAAATAGACTCATTCTTTATCTGAATTCTTTCACAATTTACGATGTCAAGTACTGTGACACCTTGAAATGAGAGAAGAAGAAGAAAGAAAGGGGGATATACCTTTTAGAGACATAGCAGAAGTACTATTATTACTATTATTATATCGTTATTACGTGTACCAAAGAGAAAGAAAGAGAGAGAGAGAGAGAGAGAAAGAAATAGAGATAGGGAAAGAGAAAGGGGAAACGGTAAAAAAGAATACAGAAATTCGTATTGTATAAAATGTTTAAAAGAAAAAAAAATATGAAATTTTAAACATCATAGGATTACTATAATTAATAAGGTGATCTCGACTATACTAATTATTAAGTATTAAGTGAGAAAACAAAAATATATATATACGTTATATTAAAATAATGCATACCAATAACAGCAGAAAGAAAAGAAGAAAGAACATACGACTACACTTATATTACATGTATAAATACATACCCAAATATATATACATACATTTAACACGCACAGATTTGAGAATAAAGAAAACCATAAAATATGTATTCGGTAGTGTCAGCGCCTAAAAGCGGCCTAGCTTTTTATTCGATTAAAACAGCAGAAATCCGAGGAGGAGGATGATGACGATGATGAGAGATTATTCTAATTAATTGCGAACAAAATGAGATCGTGAGATAGTTAAATATCGACGTTCAACAAGATAGGGAGAGACATTAGGCTAGCGAAAATGTAAGTATAAGTAAATACTTGAAAATACATAGACCATTTTTCGAAGCCGAGATGACGATGATCGCGCGGTTATTTAAACCAAAAAACTAATGTTTTTCGAAGGATGGGACTTAGGGAGGGGTTGGTTTAAAAAAGAAAAAAAAAGAGAGATCTTTTAAACGAGGAGAAAACGCGCCAACACCTACATACATACAAAAATGTATTTTTTCTTGCATATTTCACCCCCTCCTCCCTCCTTCTACCGATCGATTAGCGAAATAAGAAAATTATTCAACGATGTTAAGGCTTGTGTTAATCCAATCTAATTCATCTCTTCGGCATATTTTTTCTATTATATATATATATATATATATATATATATATATATATATATATTCTTTGAAATGTTATTTCGATTTGTGTTAATGCTTTTCATTTTAGCTCGCCTTATAGAAGAAAGAGAAAGAGAAAGAGAAGAATACTTCTCGTGTATTCGTGCGTTCTCTCTCGTTCAAGAGATTTTTTTATTATTTTTTATTATTTACTTGCATTATAACGCGAGAGAAGAGCTTAAATCGTTAACATTGGACGAATAAGAGATAAAGATAAGAAACGGAAGAAGAAAGAGGTTTGACAAATCTAGTTAGAGCCTATTTCTTACTTTCATATCGACGAAGAGATTTGTTGACGAACAATTTTTCAAGATTACTAATTGACGAGTTTGTTCAAAGTCGGAAAGAGAAACGTAAAGAATGGACGTAGACGTATATGTATGTGTATGAGAAAGAAAGAAAAAAAAAAAGAGAGAGAGAGAGAGAGAGAGAGAGAGAGTGAATGATCTAATTAATTACGCTTTTACGATAACAATTTTTCCGGCCGGCCTTGTTTTTTAAAAGACATTTCCAAAAAGAAAAAAAAAAGAAAAATAAAAAAGAAAGATAGTTACTAGTTACCAAAACGTCGTGTTTTAGAAAACAAAAAAAAAGAGAAATTGTTCTATATAAATATATGAAAATTATTGGTATTACAAATTGAAGAGAAAAATATTGAGAAAAAGGGAGATAAAAAACGATGTTTAATAAATAAGTTATTACGTAGAAATTACGATACATATGTTATTATCTTAATAACGTGTGAACCGAAAGAAAAAAGATGCAAAAAATTTAAAAAGTAAAATTAAGTAGCGAAAGAAACGCAATACGATCTTCCCGAAATATCGATCAAATTGTATAATTAATTCTAACGTCGTGTTGATGATAATTTTCATTTACAAATATTGTTTTCGTGTTTGCAAATGAGAGGAAAAGAGACGGAAGAGATCATCTTTCTTTCTTTCTTTCTTTCTTTCTTTTCTCTTCCTCTCTCTCTTTCTTTCTTTTTCTCTTTCTTTCTCTCTTTTTCTCTCTCTCTCTCTCTCTCTCTCTCTCTCTCTCTCTCTCTGCCCGTCTCTTTCTCTCCCTTATCATTGGTAAGGTTAAAATAAACAAAAAAATCTTGAAAAATTTTAAAGATCGTTAAGGCTCCTATACACTTTGAAAAATGTGGCGAGAAATGATCATCGACAACGTTAAAAAAGTATCCTTGTTTTTGAAAATCATTGAGGATTTATTTTAAATAGAAAAATTGTATAAGTATTTAAATAATTTTAAGCGAAAGTTTGTTGATCGTGCAATCAATCATACAAGAAGAATTATAATAATCATTATAAAATTGTATTGCAAATAATAGGATTTATTTTATTCCAACCATTATATATACGAAAATTGATGGAATGATAAAAATGTTGAAAAAGGTCATTGTTTTCTTGCATCGATGCTGATTGATTCTAATGCCGAATTACAGACGTTGCAACGTGTATCGAGAAATCTAAACAAAAAAAAATCAATTACTGTGAAGACCTTTATACATGTTTAAATGTGCAGCGATTTATAGATCGACACTTTTAGATTTAATGAAAACCTTTACCAATTTCAGTTTACCAATCGTATTACCAATTCTTTTCAGTTTGTTATATGTTACGGAAAAAAGAAAAAAAAAAAAAGAAATACTGTGTAATATATAATTTTTATTTCGTGATCATTGATTTTGAATAGAAAAAAAAATTGTATAACTATTAAACTAGTTTTAATCCAAACGACCAATTTTTTAGTCATACTTGCAATTAACCATATCAAAAATTATAGTGATCAGTATAAAATTGTACAAAATGAATGTGTCTAATTTTACTCCTTTATTACGAAACGTTGGGACACGTATTTTTCGTTTTTTTCTTTTCTGCATCGATGCCGATTGTTTCTAATTTGTCGATGCCAAATTATAATTATTACATTGGAGCATGTATTATATTTAATTTAAAAATCGATACATGTATCACAACGTATGTGCCGGTACATAATTATGACAGTAGATTAACGATAAGTCAAAAATTAAAAGAAAGAAAAAATTGATTTTATGATTTACATGTACATTATTACAATTATTTACACCTCATAGAAAAAGTCGTAAAATCAATTTCTTTTTTTCCAACTTTTTAACTTCGTACTCTCCATTGCCATAATTATCGGCACGTATTTCAATATATATATATATATATATATACATATATATATAGGGGCCCCTTTTAGAAAAAAAAACAATGTTGCAACTAACAATAAAATAGAGAAACGCGAA